TGTTACGATGATAATCTTCATACAGGGAAAGAACATCTCAATATTTGCATATTGATGCAAAAAAATAAAACTTATTAATGTAGTACCCTCATTTATTATTGGATTCCTAAAAAACAACATTTATAGTGATTTTTAATAATCTTTTTGAATTTTTTTTAAGGCCGAATTCGATCTATTCGGCCGATTCCCGATCCGAAACGTTGATTCACTGGTCCGGATGGGTTTTTGGGTGCTCGATCTGGGGCACCGATCCGTTTTTTAAACCACTGGTTGAGGTCTTTGGCCCCAAAGAAAAGACTTCTTTAGGATTGCTGTGCACCCAAGGTTTTGCTTGTGGTGGTTTCGGGATTGGAGCTTTGGAAATATTACTGAAGATCTAGGGGGGGTAAATACGAGTTTTACTGAGTGATCTAGAGATGATGTCAATTTGGTGAAAGTGAACTTATGACTAAAGTGGCCAGATCTCTTGTTGTGAGAATGTTTTTGATTAGATGCAAAAAATTTCTACATTGGTGATTATCAATTCGATATGTGCCTACTAGATGTAACTCCTGCACGCTGAAGGTTTATCAACTTCACTACTAGAGCGCATGTGAGAATGTAGATTCCTTGACAAAAGTAACCCTTTGTTATTGGATCCTGAATGGAATCTCCTGATTGACAAGAGAACATTCCAGTTATTGGGGGTGAAAGCGATGCGATGGAGTTGCTTTGGGATCAGTCTCTATGGAACTTTGGGCTGATATTTTTGGCTTTACTTCACTTCAGTAAAGAGGCTTGTCTCTCGCACTGCAAATCTGAAGCAGGGCCCTGATTTTGTGTTGACTCAAGGTTCTGTCCATATGCGACGCGTGCAGACTACTAGAGTGCATACCAGTCATTGGGGGTGAAAGTGATGCCATGTAGTTGCTTTGGGATCAGTCTCTATGGACCTTTGGGCTGATGTTTTTGGCATCACTTCATTTTGTTAAAGAGGCTTGTCGCTCAAATTGCGAATCTGAAGTGTGTTGACTCAAGGTTCTCTTTGTATGCCCAGTGTGCAGACTTTCGTTGCTTCGGCGTGTTGTTCCTCACATATGCTGTTCATCCCTTGCACATCAGGGCATTAAGGAAGAATGTGGGATCTTTTGCAACAGGTTGACATGTCAGAATTAGGTGCTGGTGCTGCCATGCAATTGGATGCAATGGTGAAAAACTCAAATTAGGTGATCAACTTGGTTACCGTCAAACTGAGTGGACTCATCAAGGTGAACACTCAATTTGTAAAAACTCGGGCGAGCTTCTCACTTTTTTGTGAAGAGACAAAATATTAAGCGATATCAGCCTGGTACAAACTTAAATACATGAATGCTACCAGTTTGCAGTTTCCTTTTAGGTGATAAAAGAGCAGAATAAATATTATATACAGATAAACTCAGTCATACCCAAGTTCGACTATGTTTTCGAGTCAAATCCTGTTTTAATTAGTAGTTGGATGTTCATAGTTGTTTCTTATAGGTTTTCTACCTTCCTGCAGCCTCCGTCCCTACTTTCCTATGGGGGGTTTTTTGGAATTTGGATATCCTCTATGAGGTTTATTTTGGATATTATTTGTAATATGGGATTGTTTAAGGAGTTGCTCTGCAAAGATTAGCTGTTTTGGGGCATCATGCTCTTATTGTTATTTGAAATACAGGGATATGTATGGAGATATAGCAAATATCTTACAGTTTCATGTTTGGAGAACAAATTCCTTGGGGAGTTCCTTTTTTAAGGATAAGTTGGTAAAATCTGTACCACTTTGTACATTCTATTAGGGCTGCATGTTTTTGGACATTGATATCTTTTGGCATAGGTGACCAAGGATCACAAAAGAAGTGATTTGGAAATGATTTTATTGTAACATTTCAGGTGAGGTCTTTTGGGATTAGTCCTTCCCATAAATCTTTCAATGCGTATATATTGGAATGGGCTTTCTTCCTTTATTTAAGGATAAAGGTTCTCTTTCAGCTATAAGGGTATATCTTAGGGAAAGCAGAAGAAAGGAAATAGTTTATGAAGTTACCGAAATGGTCAACTGGAAGGAGACACAACTAGTACAGTTTGTTTGGTGACCGATTTAGCTTTATTATTTGCCAGAGGTCTTGAATAATATCTGGGACCTGGGTTATTGCTGATCATTTTGAGAATCCTGATCATTTTGTGAATGTTAAAAAGGTGAAAATGTATTTTTACTGTTCATGTAGTTATGGTATGTTTATACATGTGTCTTGATTTGTGGATATATTCAGGTGTTGGCCGCTTTAAGAATGTCTATCTCATGGGTTCTATAGTTTTTTTTTTTTACAGTGTGGATGGTACTTTGTCATGATGTTTTTATGGTGGTTCAGATCAAGTTGCCAGATGACACTGCTGGCTGGGACTGGCCTGATGGAAGCACTGCAAATGCTGGGAAACCAAAATACAAATCAGCTTGCATTCAGAAGAATCAGAATATTGAGAAGAACTCTGGTGTTTCTCGTCATGGTTATCCTTTTGATGGACAACCAAGGTCTGAACAACCTTGGAACAATGCAAATTCTTTTAATTACCCTCGTGGGGGACTTGCCATACTGGAAAGTTCAGCTAGTAGGACAACTGAGATAGTCCGTCCAAAGGATGGTGACAATTCTAATCTTACTTCACCCAGTAGCATGCCTGCTTTTGTGAGTAATCATACTACACATGCATTAAATGATACTTTGCCTGGCCCCAAGGTGACAAGAGCTTCACTGGACAAAGGTTCTGAGCATTGTGAATACCAATCTATTGTCGATTACATTGAGTTCATTAGCAAAGGTGGCAATCCATTTGTTACCAATCAAAGGTCAACGAACCTGAAATCTTTCAATGGTGGTTCTACTGCAAGAAGATGCAACAGGACAAGGGAAGTATTTATGCTGGATAAGGATGCTATGGCATCAAACATTGAGTTGAGGCTTGGGCAACCATCTCAGCAGAGCCAGGCACGCAATTGCTCACTTCCATCATCAATACGTTCTCAATCATTCAATGCAATTGGTGATCAAAAGTCCCTATTTTGTGAACAATTGATCCAGAGAGGTAAATTGAAAATAGTAATTTGAGTTTTGATGTAGATTAATGTTGCTTGCATTTATTTCAGTTATCATTGTTCTTGTTTTGTAGAATTGCCAGTTATTATTAGGATAAAGACGTTCTAAATTATTTGATGCAGCTTCTGGTTCCAGGATAACTGAGGAATCTAGACAAAACTTTCTACGTCCATCAGACCTGTCAGCAATGAAAGAACGTGAGAAAGAGAGTAGATTAAATTCTGTCAATCCCGTAAATAGGAGCACACATGTTGGGGAACCTGGTATCGTTAACCTCCTTGAGGGACACATGTCTAAGAATTCAATAATGTCAATGCTACTTTCACCCATGGAGAATTTTGGTACTAATGAAGAGGGCCTAATGTTACAGCCTAATAGCAATATGGCTCCAGAGCATCTTGTGCCGAAGTTAATTCACAGTAATTCTCAACTTCTGAAATCTGGAACAAATTGTTTCACAACAAACAAATCAGAGATGATGGAGCGGAAATTGGCCAACCATATTGATGCGGTCAAAATGTCAAGGGACATGCCCAATGGTTCCTCTACCTTTTCAAGCATTGGCTCCACTGTTCATGTGAAGCAAACGGGAGATTCTTTACTTCATGGAATCAGTGTTGGGCATGGTAATCACAGCAATTCAGTTATGCTTGGTGGACAAAGTCCTGCCAATTTGCCTCACCCAGCTATTATATTATCAGCTGAACCTGATGTCAGGAACACATCTGATCATTTTGTGAAGCCATCCTGCAACGCCAACGCCAATGCTAATCCTGATTCTTTTTTTCATAGGGCTGATGATTCTGCCGCTTCAACAGGATCATCAGTGATGCCAGTGAACTTCTCAGGTTGGAATCCAATATACTTATCGAATCTGACAACTATACTTCCTAATGGGGACTTGACTGGTTTAAGGCATCAGGTGTCCGATGAGAATCTGAGAGCACCTACATTGAGAAGTTTGCCTCAGGTGTCTAAGCAGGATAACAAAGCTGCTACACCTTGCATGAACCTCGATCAAGGACAGTTTTACTGTCATTCAACTGTACAGTTGCCAAATGATTATTCTCAACAAGAAAGATTTGGACCTGAACCAAAGCAGGGACCAGTTCTGAATGGTAATCAGGATACAACTGAAGAGCAAGATAAAACTACACGATTTTGCTGTAAGGGTTTATTAGATGGTGGACGTGAAAAGTTGAGTTGCCTTACAGGTGTATATGATGAAATCTCATTTAATTTTACCTGATAACATTTAAGTCTTGACTATGTTAAAGGATGCTAGTTTTTTGTGATATATCAACAGGCTATGGGGCCTCTGGCTACATTCTGAAATTTCTGTTGTTTTTACTGTTTTGCAGGTCCAAACAATTATTGCAAGTGTTGCAATTTGACTACTGCACCCTCTATTTCATTACAGCCAAGGGGAATTGATGTTCACAGCTCTCATTGTCATCAAAATTGCTGTGTTGAGCAACCTTTGCTTAGGTATTTTTGATAATTAAAACTTTTACTTTTCCTGTTCAACTATATTTGTATTGACTGGAAGTCTTTCATTATGGGGTTGTTCATTGTTCACATTTTCTTTTTTCAGTTCCATGTGGAAACAGAATGTGTGCATGGGAAAGTCGTGGATTATTAAGTGCCTATAAATGCTTATCCATCCATCTTGGTTTAATTTATCTCATCAAGTTGTTGTCATCCTAATTCTCAAGGATAAAAGAAAAAAACCAATTGTTCCTAATTATCAAGGACAACAGTAAATATGGAGTCATGTGAAGAATAGATGTCAGTGATGCTGCATGAATCTTTTCTGGGATGCAGACTTTCCATATTGAGGGCCACATAAATTAGTTGTAGAGGCTAATTGTCCCATCACCAATCATTGTGGTGGTGTGGAGCTGCTATTAGTGGTGTCCAATGGCCTATATCTCTATGGTTCGAGTTGGGAAAAACCTGGTTGAAAACGGGTTGCATGTGGTCGAAAGTTAGTATAGCTGGTAGTGTCTACTGCAAAGAATTGGTTGGCTCTAGTGACAAGGCTGGCGATGATTACTTGGGGGTCCACTGATTTGATTTGCACTCTTCTGCAGCTTTGAACTGACGATAAATGTTTTCTTTGTGATGTCTTTGGTCAAATGCCAGATGGATTGCTTGAGCTTTATGGTTTGCTCTTGGCCTGAAATGGTCATCCTTATTGGCTCCATACTGTTTCAAAATGTATTTCCTGTGCAACCTGGACCAGGTTACCAAACTACTTATCTCAACAATCCCTCTTAAGCTGTATAGTAGTCAAACATCATCTACTACAAACACTATATGGGCAGTTGGGTTATGAGAATATACAAATTTAGTTGAAGAACAGTAGAGAAGAATTGGCTTGTGCTTCTAGACAATGTTAACAGGAAAAAAAGGACAAAAGGATGAACCAGACACATGATCTTGGGGGGAAAAAGACAATGATTTTGGAAATAAGTGAAATAAATTTATGAGATTTTAAATTTTGAAAGGCCAGAATGAAGGGGATTACAAATCTATAATTTATTTTCTTTCTCGTGCCTTCTCTCTCTCTCTCTACCCCCCCCCCCCCCTCCCTCCTGCCCTCGAAATTTATATTATGAAAGTTAGTCCATTATGGTAATTGGAAAGAAAATAATGAGTGTAGAGCCCTTCTGATTTATCTTGTCTGCCTCTTATCGAGAACCCTTTGCCTTGCTTGATTGTTTGTTGGTTTCTGCATGACTCTAGAAACCTTCAGCATCTTGCATGTGGATCGTTTTTAACTGGGTCTCTAGGGACCTCCCAAGAATATAGCATGCATCGGATGTGGAATGATTTTAAACAAGAGGCACCTTTGTGTTATACATCTAGTCATCTTCATCCCCTTGCAAAATCGCATTCTCTATGGCTGCTGACCTCAGATCACACCTTTCCTCTGTTGGGCTGCAAAGGAAGTTTTGAGAGCAAAAATGTACTCAGAAATCTGTCTTTGTTTTCCCGAAAAGTACTGTAGTTGGACTTCTTACACTACTCCATTCCCTTCATTTCCTTAATCTTGAGATGCTGATGGCTTCAGTCCTTCCATTTCTTCAATGTTGAGTATTTGGTATGGGTTCCTTCCTTCAATATTAAATTTTTGGCACATTTGTTTTTTAGTTGAAACATTCTTCAAACTGCAATCACTGACTGTCTCTCTGATGCTGTATTTCATCTCTTCACCATCTTTTGACAACATCTTCAATTGGTTAGATACCTTGAATATTTTCGAGCACAAGTGGGACATTTTGTCATGAACTTGCAGCCTCTGTCAAAATTGAAAACTTAGGAGGAGCTCTTCTTTTCAGAAGATGCTGAGGGAAAGAAAGGATGTAATCATAGGTTGTTTGGTGAAATGATTAGTTGTAGTATGTTATTTATCATCCACTAGTATAGTGACTCTGTTTTATATAATGGATTCTCAATTCGGGACTATTAGTTTCCTTTGCTATGCTTTCGCTGTAATAGTTCATAATGTTTTTTGGCTATTGCTGAGCCTAAAGATTATGTAAACTTGGCAAGCATAGGTTACTTCACAAACAGACTTCTGTTTGTGACCTCAAAAAGGAATAAAAAACCGATTTTCTTATAGCAGTGATATTTCTTTCTTGATCACTCTTAATCACCTGGTTCTTTCCACAAAAAGGAAAAGTATGTATGATCTGTTTCTGTGTTTCTCTAGAAGTAGCAATTCTTCCATTTATAGTTCTTGTATTTCATTCTTTTTGTTTCTTTTCTTGCTTATCATTGAAGACTTGCAAGCCGGAGCAATCATCACAACAATTGCTGTGTTAAACATGCGAGATGCAACCAAGCGGAACCCAATCCATGTGTCTGTAGTAACTTCTGGTGTGCAGAGCATTTAAAGTCATTTGCAGGAAGTTGTTCTTCCAGAATGGGAGCCCATGCTGAGGGATCCTTGAAAGAGAACAATGGTAACACTGCAGTCGACAAAACGTCACTTCTACTTCCTCCCTCCATTGATGATGGGTTTAGAAGTTCATTGGACAAAACCACTGAATTGAAGAGATGTGAGAACTTAGAAACTCTAGATATTGTGAAAAGAAGTTGTAATACGATGCAATGGAGAGATGTTCCTGGCAAGATAATGGATAGTTCTGCTACTACTGACATTGAGAGGCCAGCAAAGATGATGTGTAGGGCAAGAAATGAAGACCAACTTGCAGATACAGCCTCAAAGCGATTTGATGAAGGTTGTCAAGATGCTGGGTCTTTAAAAGAGCAGCAAATGTCTAATGTTTGTTCTGAAAGTTCTGCAGCTGTGGTGACGGAGTTTTCTGGTAGATGTTTTGTTAATTTGGATTTGGGAAGTACAAGGTCCACATGTGATGAGATTGTTGATGAAGGCTCCGGCATAGAAAAATGCTGCTCCTCTGATGCACATAATGCGGGTATGTGGGCTGAAACTGCTAATTTGTCTGGTAACACAGATGCAGTATTGGGAAGATCCTCTACTCTGCCAAGTCATTCTACTGATCCTATTAATAATCTTAAAGTCAGAAGCTCCCTTAGATTGAAGAAGGTGCGGCTTCCTTTTGGTTCTCCCAAGGGAGAGAATGCTGTTCATAAGAAACAAGTTGGTGGGGCCTTTAAAATAGAAAGAAAGAGGAAAACAATGAAATGGAAAAAATTAGATGCATCTTTATCTGGTTCTGGGACAGATGACAGGCAATACGAACTTGTCAATCGCAGCAAGTGTTCTGCCATGTGTGTTTATCCCGAGGTGGAAAAGTCATCTCATGCTGACCTTGGCCCGACAAAATCATCTTGTTTTTGTACTATTGCAACCTTGGGTCCAAAACGAAAACGTTCAACGTTGACATCCAGTAGACCCCTCAATTTGGTGGGGGACGCCTGTACATTGGATGGCCCTAGCAGGAAGTATATAGATTCTGGACAGGGCCGTGTATTACAAGTACCTATCTTTCCAAAAGAATGGAAGAACAATAGGGAAATGACTAAAGATAAAGACAAATCAGGTGTGCAACATGGTGGAGAGGACCCAAATGTTCAAGAGGTTCAGAAATACAGTAAAATGGGATTGGGCAAGTCCATTTCAGCTTTACCAAACAATTACTGTAATGATCAGAAGGCACGTCCGATAGTATGTGGAAATCTTGGTATCATTGCCAATGTAAACTCAGCTGAAGGTTTGCAAAAAGCAGCAAAAGTTGTCTCGTTAAGCTCGATCCTCAGAAGAGCTAAAAGATGTACAAATGAGAACCAGGAGATGAGATTTTCTTCTATGTCAGAGACCCAGAATAAATTTTCCAACAGAAGCCAAGGATGCCATACCACCCCCTGTGCTGCTTCAAGAGTGAAAGATAAAGAAGGTCACGACTCAGTGGAAACTTCTGCAGCGGATTGGTTTTCTGCTATTCAAATGCATCAGACTGCAAATGCTGTCAAAGAAGTTCGCAAGTACAGTCTTAATGAGTTAACTCAAAAGGGGAAGCATGCCAACAAGCAAGCTTGTTTAAATCATCTTTCCAGGCAAGAACATCTGCAGTCAAGAGAAAAAAATTTGTGTCCTAGAAGTGCTACCCAAAATGACAAGTTAGTTGATAATCTAAATGGTGAGTTTTTTTAAATGGTTCTTAACTAAATTTTTTATTTATTTATTTCTTTAATCTTATTCAGAAGGCCATCTCCAAATGATTCTATTGTGGAAAAACTGTTTCTACCGAGCTCTTTCCTACAATGAACTCATTTCAAATTTATTTGCTTGTTACAGAATTAAATCTAGAATTCCTTTATTAGATCTCTCTCTTTCTATGTTTTATCTGTCTCTCTCTCTCTCTCTCTATATATATATATAAATCTATCGATATATACACATGTATATAATAATAATATTATTATGACGTAACATAATAAATTCATAGTAACTGTTTACAAGGCATTGGTACAGAGAAGCAATCCCGTACTCCAAATTCATGTACTAGGAAGAACTCAATATGCATGCAGCGGTCTGTTTTCAGAACGTCAGAGAAGTTATGTTTGGAAAATGTGAAGGAAACCCAAGGTCCTATAGATGTTTCTCATGAAGTAAAAGGAAAAAAGTGAGCAATCTATAGACTGTAAACGTCAATTTATATTTTCATATAACACCGGGTAATTCTAAGATTAGATTGAAATTCATTTGTGTAGTGTATGTTGATTTGGATGCAGATCCTCTACTAAATGTCGCAAGAGGAAAGCTTTTATTTTGGACTCTGATGTGTTCTGCTGTGTTTGTGGAGGTTCTGATAAAGATGACTTTAACTGCATACTAGAATGCAGCCAGTGCTTAATCAAAGTTCGTTCCTCATTGCAATTATTATTTTATCTTAGATATCTAATCTCACTTTTCCATTTCCAATGTAAAAGTGTGTTTATGAACAATATCTCTTTTGAATCAGGTGCACCAAGCTTGCTATGGTGTCTTAAAGGCACCCAAAGGTCGCTGGTGTTGTAGACCATGCAGGGCGGATATCAAAGACATTGTGAGTGGTTACTTTTTTACAAAGATAATGTATCCTTTATATGTTAACAACTTACCATCTTTGCTCATAATGTTTTATTTGCATGTTCGTTATAATAACCTCTCTAAGTTGTCCATTTCTTGGGCGTTGCATTTCTAGTCCAGCTCACTTTAATGTTTTCTTGCTCTCTCTATTGCAATATCATTCTTATGTGTCAAATTGTTGCTCTTTTATTTTTAAATAATAATGTCATTAAACTATTCAAAAATTAATTTTATTAAACTAGAAGTAATCTATGAACAATGCAAGGAAGGTATAGGTAGCCCATCCCATGGTGGAAAAATGTCTCGTAAAAGCTGCAATCCTTCGCATGCTTTATGGATATTTGAGAAGTTGTTTTACATCAAAGTACTCTGGTAACCTTTAACTAGTGGAATGTTTGTTCTTTTTCTTTTCTTTTGGTGATAACATCTAGATATGATTTCACAGCTATTAGCTCATGTGCCATTGTACAGGTTCTGACCGCCCTCCCTGTCCTATTACTTTCAATAGTCGCTTTTGGCAAACATGTATAGGAATGCTTCTGACAGATATATAAATTTTGACAAGGTGTTGACTTAATCCACTGGCATTCTCCGATCTTCTGGCGAAGACGGAGCTAGGGCTCTAGCAGAAAACCTCACCTAGACGAGTATTGTTTGGGTTGCAGTTGTTCAATAGAAGCCACTGGTCCATCTCCTTTTTTGCTCTGGACCACAATGGGCGTACCTTTGCTTACTCACACTTGCTGTAATTCTATAGTAGCCACTGGTCCATCTCCTTTTTTGCTCTGGACCACAGTAGGCGCACCCTTGTTTACTCACGATCCAGTAAATTCCTTGTAATTGGGCATTTCTATACGCCCCAATATTTTGTATAGGGTCTTTTGACCTATTTTTTTTATCAAGAGACCCTACTTGTGGGTACTCTTGAATCCCCCGTCTGTTTCATGTTACTTTCACAGCAATACAACAGTTAACCTTGTAAAAAAAAAATCCACTGGCATTGTCAACAGGAGGAGGAACTTCATCATTATGTATAACTTCTCCAACACCCTGCAAGATCCTTATTCTCGTTAGATATTTTGTTAAAAATTGCTTTATAGATCCCTGTGTTAATACCTTGCAGTCTTCATGGCTTGAATTCTTAACTCCTTGATACCTGAAACTACCATCAGCCAGTCTTTCGAAGCATTTGAGTCTTTCGAAGCATTTGATTCTAATGCTCTCAAAGGTGGTTTCTGAAATGCTCTCATTGGGATATCTCTTATGGTTATCCTTAATTTTGCTCTTTCTCTCTTGCTGTGGCCTCCAAAAATATTATTTTTCTTCTACTTTCAAGCTTCTAGATTGCAGTTGGTTTGTAGAACCTCTAGAGAATAGAAGTTCATTTCTGTTTTCATCAACACTAGAGGATATAGATCATTTGTTACATTGCCTTATTTTGGATTTACATAATATTTTGCATTTATCTTAATCATCAAGAAACTTTTACCAGGTTAATTATGAAAGAAAAACTCAATTATCAAAAAACGAATTCGAGGAAAACTTGTGCAAGGTTTGGTGATTCGCTGTATTCGCCAAGAACGGTAATGGTGAGACAAGATATGGCTGATGGCATCAGTCTTGCTTGCAGAGGAAATTATCAACAGCGTATTGCATTTTTTTTATTTTCAAATTATCTAGCATGACAATCCATTTTTTATAGATTAATCAATTACAGTGCATATACAGGCATGTATATGTGCAAAAGGATATGTAGCTGCAGAGTTTTATATTGCCAGATATTTTATCTTCCCCCTTGGTGCGTTGTATGCATCTTGTGGAACTAAAGTTCTGGCTTGCCTGCACAGAACAATGCTTGGTGGAAGAATGACCACCTCTGGATGCTTCACATCGTAGTTATCAGAATCTCTCTGCCGAGGATGCGATTTCAGTTTGCAACCCCAATTTTGCAATTCTTTGACAAGGAATCTTCATGGAATCCAAGAAACTCAATTCCTTAATTAAGGAATGAAATTTTCAAACCTTTTTGGAATTTCGATCCCATTATTTATGGAATCTCGCTTCCAACTTTTTTGAATCTCGATTCCAACATTTATTGAATCTTGATTCCGCATTTGTTGATTCCCATTTTCACATGTAATGAGTCTCGATTTGTTTTGATTTTGAATCCAGAATCCACAATACTAAGTACCTCGGTTTGTAGTGCAAGAAACTGAATCTTGTTTCGACCTCCATAGAATCTCGATACGAACTATTTTGGAATCTTAATTCCACAAAATGAAGTACTGTTGGTCATAGGTGCACAACTTTGCTATTCATTGTGTGTGCAATCTCAACCTCAAATATTTATAGATTCTAATTTCAATTATGTGGAAACCTTATTGGAGGATATTGTTTCCCTTGGTTTATAGGTGCTCCAATAGTAATCTGATGAATGCGGTGCTGATGTATTTGTAACTCAAATCAACCTTCAAATGCAAATGTTTAGAGTTAGGAGATACTCAACATATATGATTCTAATATCTTTTGCAAGTAACAAAGGTTGGTATAACTACGGTGTTGAAGCATTAAATCAAGAGAACTTGGTCCTTGGATCATTAAAATTTAAATACTCCACATTTCACCCTTATTATCAAAAGGCACGAAGCGTCAGTACATACAGGATTTACACTCGTTTATTTATTTATTTATTTTTGGGGAAGTGATGTTTTCAATGTCCATACTCTCTTTGTTTTGGACAACTGATGCTTACGATATCAAAGTATCAAATTACACGAAACCCAATCTCAAGATACAAGATACAATCATCTTTATGTCATATTTTTTGACAGAAAGTGATCAATAAAAATTAAGTGGCCTATGTTCTTTATAGGCTATTTCATTAATTGTGCATTTTTAATGATCCATTAGAGAGATTGTAAGTCAAGAAATTTAAAAAATAATGTACATGTGATACATGTATGCCACATGAATAAAGAATGGCCCAGTAACTCTTTGTTGCATAATTTAATTTTGTATGGCATTATTGGAGTACTATTTTGATAATAAATTATAAGCAATTGGGTAATACTTCATTGCCAAGTAGAAAAAAGAATCAAAACCAACTATCCATATGTTTGCTTTATGCTTGATTATAAAAGGGTTACAAATCTCTATTGCTAGATGGGTTGAAACTCAAATCCAAACTGCTATGAATCCTGATTCCAATCTAGGTCGAATCTTAGTTCCAAACTGGTATGAATCTCAATTCGAAATGCTTCGGAATCTCGATTCCAAAGATGTAGGAATCTCGATTCCATAAATGAAGAAATATCGATTCTATATAGATCAATTCCAAATAGGTCGGAAATTCGATTCCATAGAGTTAGAAATCTTGGTTCCATCTATATTGGGATCTCGATTCCCCTTTGGCCAAGTCTCAATTCCTATGCGCAAGAATCTTATTTCCCATGATTCGTCTTGTATGGTCATCGATTCCGAAAATAGGAATCTTCCAGCTGGCTGCGATTCCGAGATTCCAAGTCCTAAAATGATTCGGATTCGGATTCGGAATTGTTTTCAACAACTACGATTCAAATTGGCTTTTTGTCTTTATGATTGGGAACAACGTTTGTTTAGAGCAGCTTGGATGAATTAAAGCGAGCCAGTTGTTCTAGTTGTGAGTTTAAGACAAACGGAGTGTCGGTTGTTGGACTAGTGAAGGGCAACATGAACCCACCTTGATAGGATTGTTTAAACTTATTTGGAATTTCAAAATGGAAAATGGAATATGCATGGTTTGGTTTGTGTCACTTGGAAACGTTGTAGGAGCTTTCTCAAAGTGCAATGCAGCGATCTTGGTCGGGCCTCTCAAATTTTATGAAAATAGATCCACAGGCAGCTCTCATTGTTAATATTCTATTGTAGATCTCTCTTTGGCTCCCCTGGTTTCGTGGAAATTATTATTATTTGAGTGTTAGATTGAAGCAGTGGTGAAAATGTGCTTTGATGGGTAGAGCATCCTGCAATTCATGTTGAAATGCTCATATATTGTGGCAAATAATGTGGATTGTACTAAACAAAGATTCGTGATTTGGGGATCAGTCATGTGCTCTATCAGTCTAATACACTGTGAGTGCTATTATAATTTAGTGTTGGAGTCTGGTATGTGCATGAACATATCTTCCTAGCTGCAATGATGTGGAAATTTCCCCTTATCTTTATAGAGTTTACTGAAGGTATAGCCTGTAGTTTAATATATGCTGCTATCAGTAAAATTCCAATATGGGACAATTTTTGCAATTGAGCATGAGGTGGATCTAGTAATGTCAGATTGTGGATATTTGTGTTTTTGTTTATAGTTTACCAAAGCTCGGATATAAAGAACATTGCAGTTTTCGTGATTCAACTAGAAGTAGAATACTAGATCTATGAGTGCTGCTATATGTCATGCTGGATTGCCTTGTAGTTTGTCCAACATGAGATTAATAATGCCATCCATAGGTGGTATTTATATTGGTTGCTTTTTACTACCTTGATTGATTCTAAATGGCCTTCCTTAAAATAGTCAGCTACCTTTTTTCCATATCTACTATTTGTTCAAGTTATATGGGAAAATCATCTTTATGTTTCTAACTTAGAGTTCTATAGGTCTGTGTTCTATGTGGCTATAGTGGTGGCGCCATGACTCGAGCACTGAGAAGTCGAAATATTGTGAAAAATCTGCTGCAGACCTGGAAAATTAAGAAGGGCCGGAAGTCACTTGATCCCTTCCATCTTTCTGATAGTAAGCATGACGATTTGAATGGTCTAAGTGGTAAATTAGGGGGTGGACCTTCTCGGCTTGAGAAAATGGATTCTATCTCTGCCATGAAACCTGGTACCTTGGAACGAGTCTCCAGAGTGATGATGAAGGCTAATACACTGGATGCTACAAGTATCATGAGGAATGCAGATATCCTGGTCGATGATTTTCAAGTACATAATACCATCACTGCTGCAGTACTTGATCCAAACGTTACACAATGGCTACACATGGTTTGTGGGTTATGGATGCCTGGAACGCGGTGCCCTAATGTTGATACCATGAGTGCCTTTGATGTATCTGGTGTTTCTCCTCCAAAAAGGAATACAGTAAGAGAATACATTTTGTGTTCAATTTTTTTTAGTGTTGAACTCATGTTTCATCCATATCCTAAAGAAAAGATAAAAACATCTGTGAAAATTCACGTTTTTTATTATGAAGTGGGTTGTCTGGTGGAAGTGAATCAATGCAGATATGATTTGGTTCCATGGCCATAGTCTTGAAGGTCAAATAATTCTCTTATTTGAGGAATGCTTGTTACAGGTCTGTTCCATATGTAAACGTCCTGGAGGCTCCTGCATCCGGTGTAGAGTTGCTGATTGCTCTGTCTTTTTTCACCCATGGTGTGCTCACCAAAAGGTAGATCTGTTTCTCCTGAGTGGAAGCATTAGCTGTGGGCATTCTGGGAATGCACTTAGTGAGTTTTTCTATGTTATTAGTGATCTCGGTGACAAGCATTTTAACAACTTCATTTACAGCCATATATGCGGGACATAAAAATATTCTTGGCTTTTTGAATCCAAATTTTACATTAAATATTTTGGATGACAATTGAAGACCCAAGTACCAGTTTTTCTCTATTGGCTAATTTATCGGCTGCTGTTCCATGTTTATTCTGCATTATTTGAATTGTTTATATTCAATATTAAAAAGATAGGAGACAATAGTTGCACTGGTCCTAGACATTGAAAGTAACGGTTCTTGGATATGTGATGCCTATTTGTCATCAGAATATTCTAACAGTCTTGTCATACCGTATTGCATTGTATGACAGACTGCGATATGGAAAACCATCCCTGTGTAATAATGTTACCAACAAAAGAAGCATGTGGTCTTGTAGCCGCACTTCAAAATTCTCCCAGCCGCACTTCAAAATTCTCCCACGAAACTCAGATGGGGTGCCAAAAACAGCATGATGGCCTGGAAATCCGTTTCTGCCCTTGACTGGAGTTGGGAGCTCCAAAAGGGGTGGAGATCTGGTGGATCTATGAAGGCTTGGCATAAATGATCCAGAAAATGTTTCAAGTTGGACCATTTTAAGGCTTGAAATCAATTTTTTCTTTTTTACATCCTTGCTTATCGAGTTGGAGATTATGGATTTGAAGGGTTTAGGACGTTGGGACTGGTTCTGTGTGCAAGATTTGGGCTGTGGCTGTATTCAGCAGTGGCCTTACGAAATACTTTTCCATAAAAAGAAGTTGTGAATACATTGTAGTTGAGCACCTGCACATAAAAATGCTGCTTCTTTCTAGTTCCCTATTGTCTTCACCCACTTTTCTGGTGCACTTGTCGAAGTTGCAAATTGCTTTTGGTTGAACTGTATTAGGAAAATATGAATTTAAATGCACATTTCATCTCTTATGTTCAATTGTTTATGATTTCTTAACATTCAAAAACAAAAGTTTTGTAGTTTCGTGCTTGTTCTTTATGGGATCATTTCATTCTCTTACAACCATGGTTGCAATGCTTCATGAAGAATCTGCTGGATGGACTTTGTATATGAGTTAAGTACCCTTTTCCATCTCTGATATGATTTTTCATCCTTAGGCTCTTCCAATGTTTGGTTCTAAGAAGGGTGAGGACCTTAAACTTTTCCTTAACCCGATCCAAGCCCAGGTAAAGGAGGTGGGTTGTGTTAGGCAGCCAGCCAATGTAAAACTTTGCCAAAACTTTTCATGAATCCCGGTTCTTCCAATGTGTGATGCAGTTCTTACATTCATTTGATCTGGCTTCCACATGAGGGCAATTACTATGTTTTAGATTGCAAAGTCTTAAAAAGGAAACTTGTCAGAACTTGTGATCTATTGTTGGACTCATTTTTTGAAGCACTGTTTGATGTCTAGTCAATGAAGTGGTTCATTGTGTGCTCTTCATTCATCTCCAACATTCTTTTGGAGGTGTTTAGAATGATGACATTTGAGATCATAAAGCTATTTCATGTGTAGTACATAGTAATACATCTGTTTACTCTTATTTGTAGTTTCAAGAGTACTATATAGTTTTATTTTAATCTATGCACACATGTTGCTTATTGTTATTGTGTGTGACACTAAGTGAGAGATATTTATCCTAGATCGCTTATGGCCTCAAAATTGGCCCATGGGATGGGTCTAGTAGCTAACCTATCGGACACTACACCACTGTCTACAGCCTCTCCTCTCTCAGAGAGTGTTCTGTAACACCATTACCTGGGCCTGGGCCTCAGCCTCTTCAGCATCACAATCCTCGACCTCACTTGAGCCACACTGGATCTCAATCTTGTTCTTTCCACAGATTCATTACTAGAGGTTACTTCTAGTGCACGCTTTTTGAGCAACGAGCTGCCTAGGCCTGGCATGTGGTGTTGTATTGCAATCAGTTCTGGTCCTTCTTCACTTAGATGTTGTTCTTGATTAATAAATATTGCTTATTCTTCTGTTTGATGTCAAGGATGATGCAAGAAGCGGGGCTTTAGAAGAGGTGCCTAGGGCATGTAGGACTTTTGCTCCTCTAGATCTATGGTTTCTCTCTGATGGTTGCTGGAAATTTGAGGTGTTGGAAGCCAGGGATCTGGAGATTTTCTCAAGTGTCTAAGCTTCTTTGAATTTTTCTGAGCTCACATATTTTATAGTTTTGGTCTATAGGATCTAGTGCTTTAGATGGGAAGCTGAGAGTAAGACATAAAAACTGGGTTAAATCCCGAGACAATCACATCCCACTGCCATAGACTGCCGCCTTGAGGTTTCCAGAGGACCTTCCACGAGCCGCAAGATATGATATGTCCATGTTATGGAATGTGGCATGCATGCCACACTGTGCGATTTGCACATGCCATGTGGTCCACACAGTGCGGTAATTGTGTGCACAGAGTGGCTATCCTGGTATTTTCAAAGTCATAACTCATCCAGTCTTCAACTGTGTGTTGGATTTAGGTGATTCCTGGATTGTTGGAAAGCTTGGGAAATTAGTTGGTGAGCAAGATGTGTTTTTTTTTTTGCACCATTTAGTGAAGCTATTAATTAAATTTTATTGACTGATAACAATGATGGATAAGTTTTCCAAGGGTTAAAGTTTGAGCTTTGAGGCCCTGCCACTCTTGAAATCATCACCTAGGTCTTCTCACTGGCTGATGGAGTAGGGGCTGGCAGGAGATCTCATGCACTTGACCCTCCTATGGCTGAATAATGTCATCACTGTGCCAGACTTTATCACCTAAACCTTGATGCAAGACTCATGTTCTACTTCAAAGCCAGTTCCTCCTCAGATCTTGGATTTTGTTTATGGTTGCATATCCCAATCTTTAATTTGTGATTGATCTGGCTGGATTGGGTATTCCTAGGTCTATAGTTATCCATTACAATATTTGAAGGTGTATAAACTAAATGCCCCAAATCAAAACCTTCTTCAATGGGAATCTAATCATCCTTTTGATGGACATCAAATCTCGACAATTTTGAGCTGAAAACCTTTTTTTTTTTTTTAATTTGATTATTAGGTGAATTAAAGATGATTTGAGAAATTTCATGTCATAAAAATCCCCTAGTTCGTAAAAATCCCCTAGTTCGTATTTTGGCTGCAGGACCAATTGTACAATTTGATCTGGTGGATCGACTGTTTTTTTGTCATTATCTTTTATCTTATCTGTTTGTCATTTCTTTTTAGTTTTTCTATCCTTTTTGTAGTTCTCGTTATCCCCCTTGTTTCTCCTTTATTTCATCACCATTTTAAATTGTTTTATGTCTCCTGGGTCCGGGCACCTTGAATTGTTGTCATGGGGCAGCACTATTACCCAAATAATATGTTAAATGTTTTTGTTTATTATTATTTTTTAATTTAGTCTTGATTCTAACCTTTCCTTGTTTTTCATTTATCTCCTTTACTTTTCCTCTCACATGCGATGAACAGCCCTGCTGGCTTCATCATTTGCTATGTGCAAGCATCTGTATATATAATGGAGTTCTCATGTCTAAGTTTCTATTCTGCCACTTTGACACTCTACCCCGTCTTGCTATTTCTGCATCTTTTTCCCTTGTTGCAGTATCCTAGATTTAAATGAACAGCAGTCCTAAGTGTAAGTTGGGTTTTAACTTTTAAATGAACTGAGGCTCGTAGGTTAGGGTTTGAACTGAAGGTTCTGTATCTCTTCAATGAGGACTGGACTGTATGCCCCTGCTAAAGCTTATATCTTCTGCCAGGGGTTTGTATGTCATGTTCTACTCTATGTGCCCTTTCCTGGGTTACTGACCATTCTTCTCCGTGCTCCTCTTTTCTTATGCACTTCTTCTCTTCCTAATGTTTCTCTGCTTATTCATACTTTACATCTTGCTTTTCTGTTTTTTCACTTCTTACCGTAACTACAATTGTAAATGGTCTTCAGCTATGCACTTCAGTTTCAAGTGATCTATGGTTCTACAACACTTAAATTGGGGGGGGCCATTCTAAATCTTGAGAATTTTCTGTGGGATCAACCTAATCTTTTTGTCTTTTTTAACGATTAACCAAGAGCTCAGAGTATCTTATCAGTTGCTTTTGAGACCTTTTTCGGTAGAGGTTGACTTGTTGAACCTTATCAGATGGGTGTCTCAGAAATTGCCAATTTTGTCGCATACTGCAGATTTCTTGGCAGAGGTTTCCAGTGAACCTATGGCTATCGTTTTTCATTCTTCATGAGGCCATTGATTTGGCTGCCTTACTGGTCCTGGATGGCCTTGGACAACTGATGATTCTGTTTTGGGATTCTGTTGCATTTTATCATTGGGATATTCTGTTAATATCTCCTTTCACCCTTGTCGATCTGTGTTTCCTTCTTACTTCTTGCTTTAGTATAATGTATGTCATAAAGTTCAATGAATATTATATTATTACTGATTTAATAATTTGATGTGTCTTTTGCAATGTAATGGTCAATTTCAATTCTTTTTGTCAAATTTTAATATGTGCTACCTATTGGTTTGCAATGAGATATATACTTATGGAAGCCTATTGGTCCAGTTTGATGTTATCTTATGAGGACCAAAGAAGTGCCTTGTTGGGGATAGGGGGGAAACAGCTTTTCACAGTTTTATCTCCATCAGGTTTGAATGTATAAAGCTGATTAAAAATATTGTGAATAGCATGCTGCCGAAAACTCTGAAGAGAATGGCTTGCACATGTAATGCAGCTTGATGGCAACTTATACACCATCGGAACAAGCTGGTAGAAAGCTGCTGTTGTTATTGATACTGTTCTTAAAAAATATTCTTTTCTTGTGGCATGAATTTATTAGGTTTTAATGTTCAAACATACTTAATGTTTATCGAGTCTATGCATAGTATTTTTCTTTCTATTGTTTATTTTGCATAATCATTGTAATCACCTAGATTAGTTAAATAAGTTACGTATTATTGAATGGTTCAACAATAGTTGCTCACACACTAGAAATATTAAATGATTGCTTGTGTGGCAGGGCTTATTACAAAGTGAGATTGAAGGTGTCGATAATGAAAATGTTGGATTCTATGGGAGGTGCCTATTTCATGCTGTGAACATTAATTGTCTGACCAAACCTGTCCATCTTGTGAATGACAAAGTTGAGGATCATTCTGACAATAAGGACCCCACTTGTGCACGGACTGAGGTATCCTTAGCTCTTCCTGAAGTTGTTATCAACTGTTGGATCCAAGTACTGAAAAGTTGCTTTGATCATTTTAACAATGTGAACCTTCTGAAATAGGGTTACAAGGGCCGAAAGAAAGAAGGATTGCATTACGGTTTAAGAGGACAATCAAAGGATAATAGTGGTTGTCTTGTTCCTCAAGAGCAAATAAATGCCTGGTTGCACATTAATGGTCAAAAGTCATGCACGCGAGGACTTATAAAACCTCCAGCATCAGATACTGAATATGATTGCAGAGTATGTTTCATTGTTTCTGAATTGATATGCTCACTTCTGATTTGGAATGAACTGTTTACTGTTCATCTGCAAGTCATATGATTTTGTGAACAATATCAATCGCTTTTTAAAGTTCTAGTAATACATATTTCCCCAATGAGAAGATTCTTCTAATTTACATGAGACTTGGGTAATTTAGTGGAGCTGTAAGACACATGGCCATTTAGGAGGTTCACCATCATGACTAGACAGTTTACTTGGGTGAGCATTGATTCATCTCGGCCAGCTCTGCTGCCCATGTGCCTGGCAACTTTAGACATTTGTAGAATTGGGCAATCTTTTTTTTTTTTTTTGGCAAGGTTACATAGGAATGGAACTTAAGACGTTGTGCCATGAAAACCCAGCCTCTACCGTCTTGACCCAAGCCCGATTCCTAGAATTGGGCAATCTTATAACATAGTTGCTTTGAGTTTCCACTATATGGAAGTATGATCTTTTCATTGATGTGTACAATGCTGAAGTATCTATTCTTTTTGTGACGTAATATTCCTTTTTCATGACAGAAAGAGTATGCCCGCTATAAACAATCAAAGGGTTGGAAGCAATTGGTAGTCTATAAATCTGGCATTCATGCGCTTGGTCTTTACACTTCCCAATTCATTTTTCGTGGAGCTATGGTATGCAGTCATGATTTTTGTCTTGTTATTTATGAAATGTCATATTTGTTATTTTATACAAAAAAGTGAATATTGTTTATGGACCTGACTGACCTTGTGCTTTAAGGTTGTTGAGTATGTCGGTGAGATAGTGGGTCTTCGTGTTGCTGATAAACGAGAAGCCGAATACCACTCTGGTCGAAGGATACAGTATGAGAGTGCATGCTATTTCTTCAGGATTGATAAGGAGCATATAATTGATGCCACTCGTAAAGGTGGCATTGCTCGCTTCGTGAACCACTCATGCTTGGTATTTCCTTCTGTTCTCATTTTCTTTGCCCAATTGGGAAAAGTTCTTGATTAATCTCTCAAATTTGTTCTGTTTTTGTTGCTTTGTTTGAGCAGCCTAATTGTGTCGCAAAAGTTATCACTATCAGAAATGAGAAGAAGGTATGTCATGATGTAGCACATCTGGTTATTTTTATGCTAACTCCAGATATTCAGAGTTGGTACCCAATTTCTGTCTTCTTATTGGGCTGGTACAGATATAGGACTCATTCACAACTATTCCGAGTCTGCCCTTGTTGAACTAATAATGGTTGGAATGTCACAAAAAGAACCGTTACAGTTGGAGAACTACTCACAAGTGATGGTTTTCAGAAACACTCTTGAGTTTAATTTGTGATGGTAACGGTTCTTTTTGTGACAAATGTAAAGGTCCCTACGGTTATTATTTTCCTATTTGTGACGGTTATGGAAAGTCTATTACATATAAAGGTCCCTACGGTTATTATTTTCCTTTTTTGTTTAATTTCAATGGCTGAAGTAAATGTATCCTTTCCTTTTTTCTCCCAACTTTGGATGCACAAGTAGTCTATTTTATTGACTTCGGAAGCAAATGTTTGTTTTTAGTTGAATGTTTATCTCTGTGTAAGGGATCTTGACTCTTGGGCTTGGGCGTGGGTCTATGCTTGCATGCATGCATCTATATGTTCATGACTTTGCTATTGAAGAAACTCTAGTAGCTCTTTACATTTTAATTAATGGGTAATCTTGCAGTAAACTGGTAGTTGACATTGCTCAGCTAATTCTACTTCCTTGATACATCCCTTGTATTGAGAACATGAAACCCTTGAGAATGAGAGCATGACCCCTTTGTCCAAAGCCTAGACTATGGTTGACCCATGGATCTTCTGGTTCCTATCCTATCTTCCATCTCTGTCCCATCCTGGTTCTGTATCTTTACCCCATTCCTCAGCAGTAGACATTCCAACCCCAACCAAGATACCTCCTTCCTCCTATAAACATTTGTTCTTCCTAGAGGAGCAAACCTACTTATCCTATTCCGACCTTGCACTCCACCACTATCATCACATCTGTGACTCTACCAGATTTTCAAACCCGAACCCCATTCATGTCTTTACCAGAAGTGTCTTCTTCAATGTTCCAAAAAAATGCCGGGCAGCACCTAGGCGGCCGGGGGTGGGTCCTGGTTGCTCAGCGCCTAGGCGATTGCCTGGGTGGCTGCCTAGAAAGGTGGAAGAACAGGGGTGGGAGGTGTCCGAACAAACTGTTTTTAGTCTAAATTGTGCGTAAAAATTGCATATTGAGGCATTTTTAATACATTTTTTATGTTCAATGAATTCAAGCTCCAAACACAAACCAAATTATTTGAGGTTTGGACTATTACTCAAAAACACATTAAGAAAAATAGGAAAATATAATCAACATTCAAATTCGGTACTAGACTACTAGAACTAAGTGCTAGCAGAATAACAAGGAAAAGATAATAATCATATGGCTACAAACAAGTCACAGATTCGCATATCATAATGGCATAACACATCGACATAGTCCATAAACCATTCCTGTCCATAGTCCATAGTCATAGTCATACTCCATACCATGAGAGGAGGGAAAAAAAGGAAAGAAATATAGACCTGCTCACTTGAGGACTCAAAGAGTAGAGTCTTCAGTCATCGTCAGAAAAAGTAGGTCCAGCTGCATCATTTGCATCAGAGTCAAGCTTCAAAGACAAACCAAAGTTGGACTATTACTCAAAAACACATTAAGAAAAATAGGAAAATATAATC